CAAAGATTAGTGTTCACATGATTTAAATGACGCTTGAAGCAATAAACCCAAGAATCAAAGTACTCATTTTTCACAATCTTAGGAGGAGGGCCGGCATGATTTAAATGGGTAGAAGGAATCGGTCCTCCATAGACTGGAGGTGCCACATGGCAAAGATGCCGGTGCCATTTCTACCACTAGTAGAAGGATCCTTTTCACTAGTAGCTTCCCCCTTGTCGGAGTTAGCATCCGTCACCTTGTCGGTGGGATCCCCCACTTTCAACGGCGAGGTAGATAGTTTAAGTCCTTCTAATAATTTATTAAACATGCTTTCAACCTCGGTTTTCATGGAGGTTTTCAATGTGTCCAAAGCCACATTGAATTCCTCACGAGACACCGCAGTTCCCCCATCACCCGTAGACGAGCTCGGATTCACACCGGAGTGCTCCTCCCTACCGTCTACGGTGTCAACCATACTCTTCGGACGACAAAGTCCTTAATAAAGAGACGAGACTCTGATACCAATTGAAAGGATCGATATAGTTGACTATAGGGGGGGTGAATAGGCAACTAACAATTTTTAGCTTTTCTTTACCAAATTAAACTTTGCATCAAAGTAAGTTGTCTAGATATGCAACTAGGTGAGCAACCTATATGATGCAGCAATCAACAAGCGCACAAACAAGTAAGGGATACAACACAAATAAGCTTGGACAAGTAAAGGCACGAGATAACCAAGAGTGGAGCCGATGGAGACGAGGATGTGTTACCGAAGTTCCTTCCTTTTGAGGGGAAGTACGTCTCCGTTAGAGCGGTGTGGAGGCACAATGCTTCCCAAGAAGCCACTAGGGCCACCGTATTCTCCTCACGCCCTCACACAATGCGAGATGCCGTGATTCCACTATTGGTGCCCTTGAAGGCGGCGACCGAACCATTACAAACAAGGTTGGGGCTATCTCCACAACTTAATTGGAGGCTCCCAACGACACCACGAAGCTTCACCACAATGGACTATGGCTCCGCAGTGACCTCAACCGTCTAGGGTGCTCAAACACCTAAGAGTAACAAGATCCGCTAGGGATTAGTGGGGGGAATCAAATTTCTCTTGGTGGAAGTGTAGATCGGGGCCTTCTCAACATATCCCGAGCAAATCAACAAGTTTGATTGGCTAGGGAGAGAGATCGGGCGAAAATGGATCTTGGAGTAACAATGGAGCTTATGGGGGAAGATGTGGGTCAACTTTGGGGAAGAAGACCCCCTTATATAGTGGGGGGAACAATCCAACCGTTACCCCCCAAAGCTGCCCCGCAGAGAGTGGTACTACCGTTGGGGAAGGCGGTACTACCGCTGTGGCCAGCGGTACTACCGTTCCACCTCGCGGTACTGCCGCGTAGAAGAGGGGAGCGAGGAGCAAAGGGAGGACCTGGACCCAGAGCGGTACTACCGCGGTGGTAAGGGCGGTACTACTGCTTAGGAGCGGTACGACCGCCTCTACTACCGCAACTAGTGCCACAAAACCTGACACAAAAAACGAGCCCTCGAGTCGAGGCGGTAGGAGCATGGAGCCGCAACGGTACTACGGTGGAGGGCTCCAAGCGGTACTACCGCTAAGGAGCGGTACTGCCGCTTGATGCACTCGGACGGTACTACCGCTGTGGCCCGTGGTACTACCGCTGGGACCAAACGAAGCACATAAGAAAGGGAATGAGCTCTCCATTGAAGCGGAAAGGCTCAGAGGGTGTGACAAGGATGTGTACGTGTTGATTTCACCCTAGCCTTACCACAGCGGACCCCCTCTTGATAGTACGGAGACTCCTACAAAATTAGTCCACCAACATAGAAACGAAAGAGCTGCACCGTCTTGAATAACACTCTGAGGGGAGGGAATCGTCTCGTGCCAAAGGATGAATCTCTGAAAAACTCAACGCACACGATTAGTCCGCAAAAGCATTGCCATCAATCACCAAAACACCTTAGGGATAAATATGCCCTTACACTCAAGCTCCACATGTGTAGGTTTGATGAACACCGCCACATCATCCGCAAAAATGGACAAACGTTGCCTCATGCCTCTCCGGGCCAAGGGCTCCAAAATACCTCTGCGCATGGCCCGATCAAACAACCTCTGCAAAGGCTCCATAGTAAGAATAAACAACATTGGTGAAATTGGGTCGCCTTGCCTTAACCCCTTGTAGTTGTAAATAGTATCCCCGGGGTCACCATTCACCAAAATCTTGGTGGTGGATGTAGCAAGAATCCCACAAATTCAAGATCTCCACCTAGGTCCAAAACCAAGCTGCTGCAACACCTCAATCAAAAAGGGCCATTGTACAAAATTGAAAGCGTTAGAAATATCCAGCTTGAGCAGAACCGCAGGTATTCATAGGGCATTTAGTCTACGAGCCGTGCTTTGGACCAACATGAAGTTGTTGTGCAGGGACCTACCCTTCACGTGCACTCTCTCCCACACGTCTGCACGATTCTTCTCTCCATCTTAGGACTGTACAATCCGCGTCCTATGACACAGGCGTCACTCCATAACGTTAGTTTTCTACCGTTTATAGTTTAACTTTACCGTTCTTAATAAACCAATTTAAAGTATATTTTTTGTTTTTTAAAAGAAAATTCCTAAAAAGAAAAAAATGAAAAAAAAACGATGCCATTGGGTATGTGCAGACGTTAGAAATATCCAGCTTGAGCAGAACCGCAGGTATTCATAGGGCATTTAGTCTACGAGCCGTGCTTTGGACCAACATGAAGTTGTTGTGCAGGGACCTATCCTTCACGTGCACTCTCTCCCACACGTCTGCACGATTCTTCTCTCCATCTTAGGACTGTACAATCCGCGTCCTATGACACAGGCGTCACTCCATAACGTTAGTTTTCTACCGTTTATAGTTTAACTTTACCGTTCTTAAATAAACCAATTTAAAGTATATTTTCTGTTTATTAAAAGAAAATTCCTAAAAAAAATGAAAAAAAAACGATGCCATTGGGTATGTGCTATTATTTTCGCAAAAAGAATGGTAAGCATGTGCTAGTGAGCGGGCTTGACCCCTAAAAAAAACAAAGGTGAGCGGGCTTGTGGCTTTCCCTCGAGCGATGTGTTTAAGACGAGGAGGCCTTCCATCATCAAGGGGAAAAAAAACGAGGAGGCCTCATTGTTCCTGCCAAGCGGCAAGCCTGGTAACGCAAGCGAAACCCAGAACCCCCCCCTTCCTTCCCTCTCCTCCCCGGCGATCGCCAACGGTTCTCCCGACCTCTCCCCGTCGCTTCCCGCCGAGCTCGGGTCCTCCCCCTCCGCTTCCGAGGTAAATATCTGGATCCTTCCTCCCCAGCCTCCTCCTCCTCCTCCCCCGCCGCGTGGTGCCGAATTTTGCTCGGTGAGTTTAATCTTCGAAACCCCCCTCCCCCCCTCCCGTGTCGCTCCCGCGAGCGACCCGGGAGGGAAACCCTAGCCGCCGTCTCAGTCCTCTCTCCTCCTCTCCTCTTCTCCTCGCCGCCGCCGGAGCGCGCTGACGGGCGAAGCCCGCCGGCGTCGGCGTCGGCGGGGCCCTTCCTCCCTTCGCTCGGTGGCGGCTGGCGCGGGCCAGCGGCAGCGGGCGTGGCGTCGCGCTGACGAGGGGCGTGGCGGCGCGGCGGCGGGCGCTGGCGGCGGGGTCGCGGGTGCGTGGCGGCGGCGTGGTGGGCTTCGTGGGCGCGGGCGCGTCCTTGGCAGGAGCGGCAGCGGCCTGGTCTGGCTCGGCCAGATCTGCTGCCTGGTGGCCACGGACGGCGCATCAATCTGATTTGATCAACGTCTGTACAGAAGTCTAATAGATACTATTAGAATCCCTGACAACTGCTGTTACCGGGTTAACTTATTCTAGTGTTTTGGCCGATTGTGTTGTTTAAGGTTGTAAATGCAGATTAACTTTGTAGGTTGGAGTTTGGTTAGCCATGGTTCAACCAACTATTTCTAGCTTAGTTTGGCTGGTTTGGTAGGTGGTGTAACCTACCATTGTGCCGCTGGTGCAACTGGTGTCCATGAGTACTTGTAAATCCGGTTAGAGTTCATAGCTTGAAAATATATAGTAAATGCTACTGCAGTTTTGGCTTGAGGGTGCCAGAAGAGGTTTCCCTGCCAATTATGTTACCTGGTTAGCTTTGTTCTAGTGATTTTGCCGTTTAGTGCTATAAATGCAGATTAATATTTCAACTGCAATTATCTTTATAGTTTAAAGTTTGGTTAACTTATCTGCCTGATTGTTTGATCAGTTTGTTGGTGGTGTTCTGGAAATTGTTTGCATGAGTTGTTATGTATCTGGTTATAAATAGTTGTGGGTTGATCTGTCATGTTTATAATTTTTCCTAGTTATCCAGTACGAATATTAGCGAAGGAAGTGTAAGCATGCAGATATCGTTGGGAACTTAGGCTTGAGAATCTTTTTTTTATTAGTCATTCAGATGCAGTTTAATGCTGTGAGTGCAGATTAGTTATTAAGATGCAGATTATCGTTTGTAGGTTGGAGTTTGGTTCACTGATATGCTTGATTCTTCGGTTAGTTTGGTATGTGGCGTTGTCTTAAATCCAGCGCTGTTGAAACTTCTGGCCATGAATATTTATATCTGTATATAATTATTTTAAGGATCGATCTGTATGTATTATATGATTGCAGTGCAGGTTCCTAGAGTTATCCAGTTTACTTGATGTTTGTTTAATATAGCTTATGTAATCTAGTATAGTACTACAATTGTGTCTTGGAGGTGCTGGACGAATTCTAATGTCATGTGGTAGCTTTGTCCTAGTGCTTTTATATCTGTATAGAATTATTAGAGGACTTTTGAGCTTAAGTCTAGATGTCTTTCATGATCGACCAAGTGCTTTTGTTACTTCAGTTAGTCGTCCAGTAGCACTAGAGTTGTAGATAAGTAAGTTCATGCTTGTAACTAGCAAGTTATTAACTTTTTTGCTTTGATCTAATTGCTTTATACTTTTCTTACGGGCTCATAGTATATAATGCTAATGCGTATCACTACAGATGGACAGTCGGAGGGGCCCATGTCAGGTCCATGGTCCTCTACCCCGCGTGCAATCGGGACCGCCTCCTCCTGCTGGTGGAGGTGCAGGTGCGAGTGGCGCCTTCCAGGCGTTGAGGAGCTCTGCGATGGAGGTGGGGGCAACATCAGTGCTCGAGAAAGAGGACCATGAGTGGCAACTCCAGAGTTCGTGTTCCACATCACCTAAGAAGACTCACAAGATTCGTCCAAAGATGGTGCACCCACAGTTGCGTGTGCACTTGTCCCGCACATTGGCGCGGATGTGTACCACCTTGGTTGATAGGGGAGTGTTCGACGAGTGCCTATCCGAGATAGCTGAAGCATTGCTTAAGGCAGATTTCTGCTCAGAGATGGTCTCGGAGCTGCAGTTAAAACTCAAGAAGGCCATAGATCTCACTGTGAGCGGAAGCAATCACAACCTACAACAGGTTGTGTCATTAAATCCTTCTCTTATGTATTATAAGACTGATCTTGTAGACGAACCTTGATCTCTGATTTTGGTTTTGCAGGTTGTCCACAAGGAGATATGCAAGTTAGTTGATCCTGGAAAGAAGCCATCCTTTGTCCCCAAGAAGGGGAAGCCATGTATTGTAATGGTGATAGGTCTCCAAGGTTGTATTCTAAACTATTTTCCTGCCTCATATATGTTGGTTACTTGGGCGATATCTATCATTTTTCAAAAAAGATCATGCTGTCCACATTTAGTCTTTCTCTTGATGTCATCAAGCCTAAGGTCATTTTGTAGGATTTGTGTACCAAAAATATTCATTTTGGGTATATATTAAATCTCTCTCTCACCTAATTGTTACTACTCATTTGACTAGGCTCTGGTAACACTACAAGTTGTGCCAAGTTTGGGTACCATCACAAACATAAGGGATACAAACCTTCAATGGTCTCCACGGATACAAGAGGAAGTAGTTCACTTGGTCGGACAAAACAGATTGCACGCGAGGCTAAGATCCCTTTTTATGGAAGGTAGTCTGTTTTTATTGGTTAAAAGCAAGTTTTTAGCATTTAACCAAGGGTAAAAAAACTAAAATGTTGTTTCTGCAGCAATTTGGAACCAGATCCTGTGAGAGTTGCCGTTCAGGGCGTGGACAGATTCAGAAAGGAGAACTCAGATCTTATAATAATTGATACAAGTGGGAGCTCTACATCTAAAGATGCACTTTTTGATAAAATCCTTAAAATTGAGAAGGCCACGGTATTGTTTCTGTCTTGACTTCTTCTGCTTCTCCTGGAGCTTCAGAACATGATCTAGATGTCATCCTTCAAGTCTCCATCACAATGCACTCATGCGTACATGATAAATATGAACGAGATACGATCCAATGACATGTCCAATACATGTCTACATGATTAGATGCAGAGAATACCTTTAAAATACACCTCTCTTTGATGATGCTTACCATGTCTAATGCTTCGCGTGCCTGATTTCTTGCTAAACCAGTTCTCTTATCATTTAATTTGCTTCTGTTTGACGGCTGATTATATGCTTCTTATTTCCTTTTAGCAAGAAATTAAGTACTCCCTCCGTTCCATTCCTGCTCCGTATGTAGTCCATATTGGAATCTCTAAAAAGACTTATATTTAGGAACGGAGGCAGTATTTTGTTACATTTCTATCGTCCTTTTCATACTGGAATGTGTTATTTCATAGAATCTCAGATAATAAAGTTCAGATGATTCTGCATGCCCATATAACATTTTTCCAGGAAACATTTAATCAAAATGTTATATTCAATGGAACTTGATTATTGATCTTAAGTATGATGGGTCAAAAGCCACCCTAAACCAATTTACTTTTACAGTGAAACTTGATTATCTAATCAGTATTTTATTGTCATTTGCTAAGAGAAAGTATCTAGTTTTATTCTTCAGTCCAAGGAATATATATATTGTTAAAAAAGAATTTGACAAGATACCAAGCGCCTTACAGTGATCACAAATGCTTTGTCCATAAGCATTAATTCAGATAACTTTGATGAAAACAAAAGGCTTGCACTGCACGAACTTTATAGTCACACACAGGAGGAATCCTCCTATAATCTTAGCTCCAACCCATAAGCCCAGAACACTTACTCCCCACTACCTCCTGTTATTTTGAAATTCCACCTTGTGATTCTTTGCAGAAGCCAGATCTGGTAGTGCTCGTAGTTGATGCTGGAGCTGGCAAGTCTGCATGTGATGTAGCTGTGTTCTGCAAGAGATATGGCTCTATTGGTTCTGCTATCGTGACCAGAATGGACCGCCATCCAAATGGAGGCGGTACACTTAGCGCGTTAGTATCTACTGTTACTTCTTTTATTTTATTAGATTATTATTGTTTTGGTGTATATTCATAGTATCTTCCTATTTTCAGACTTGCAGCAGCAACATGTCCTGTTATATTTTATGGAACGGGAAAACAAATTGATGCATTTGAAACCTTTGACGTGAAGGTCTTTGTGAATAATCTTTTAGGTAAATAAAACCAATCTAATTTACATTCTGCATATGGCTGCGCCTTCTGAACATTGGTGCTACGCTAATGCTCTGTTCAAATTTCAGATTACAAGAATAGGACTTTACAATCAATGTTGAAGATATGCATGGTATGCTCGGCAACCTGCAAGTATCTGAGACTGAAAGAAGAAACGCGATTGTAGAGATGGAAAAGACATGCCTGAATGCATATCATGCTGTCTTGGAGAAGCACAGGATGCTTGCTCAGCAGATTTCTTGTTCAGAATCAGAATACAATAAAATTTGCGACATCCTTGGCGAGCAAGAACTCAAGAAGAGCAGAATCAAGGTTAGCTACAGGTTCCATAGAATCAGAACAATAATTTTTTTTCTGCCATTTACGGTTTTATTCTCTTTTTTTCAGTCTGTCTCTTCATTAGAAGAAAGGAAAGAGATAATGATGATCAATCTAAGAAGCATGAAGAACGAAAAGGATGAAAGAACTAGTAAGGTAAGCCAAAATAAATTTGGTATGTAGTATGTTATAATGTGAGTTACTTACCGTCAACGTCCTACTAGAGTCCAGAATAGTCTAGAGCTTGAGTCAAGTTCTAAATTTAAGCCATGGCTGCCTCGCATGGCGAGATGTGTTGTTTGAGAGTGGGCTGCTACTCTGTATGAGATGGTGATCAGAAAGGTAGAGTAGGATACTGTAGAAGAACGAGTGGAGGACATGATCTGAAGTGATGGAGGAAGATGTAGGAGGAAGAGGAGTGGATCCAGGGACATTTGTTTCCTCTGGATAGGATCTGAAGGCTCGGTGTGTCTCGGAAGCACTTCCCTGCCCGCTGATCAGTACATGGGAAGAGAAGGGTGAGGTAGATCTTATAGCACTTAGCAACGAGGCCCTATCCATTAGTATTCCACATAAGAAATCCATTCTAGAAAAAAATACAATTAGATTAGCTTGTGTGCTGCTTGTGGTGCTCCAAACCTGTACATGGGAAGAAAAAGAGAAGGAGGAGAAGGGCGCTGCTTATTGTTGCTGTTGCTGAAGGAGGGGATTGTTCTTTACTTGGACTAGTGCAAGACAGCAGTGCAGAGAACTGGAAGAGGCGATAAGTAGGAGGTGCTCCTGGCTTGCTGCCAGGAGCATAGAGGGAGAAGAGGCACACACAGATGAGAGCAAGTGTAGCTGCATGTGTTGCTCTGAAGAGAAATACACAAGGGATTTGCTGGTCACAATTAGTATGAATGCTTGCCCGCTGTGCTGTGTTGGTGGAGGACGAGGTGAGGACCATGATGGTTGGCTGTTCTCTGTGTTGCTCCGGACCTGTACCTGAGGAGAGAGTAAGAAAGGTATTGTGCTGTGCTCGTGCATGTGCACGTGTGCAGAAGGTACATCAGGCTGCAACAATTTGGAGAATGCAGAAGAACTGAAACTGAGAAGAGGAGGAGCAAACCCGCTCCTTGTTGCATTTGTGCGTTTGAGGAGGTGCAGCAAGAAAAGTCAAGGGATGTGAATGGTGAGCGCGCTGCTGCTACTGATGGCTGGCAGCTAGGGTGAATAGGTGGGTGAACTGAGGAGAATGAGATGCCACATTTTGATATTTGCAGCAAGGGGGGGATGTGATTGGAGGCTGAATGTGTTGCTGATGGGATGCTGGAGGAAGTCATCAAGGAGATGATGGAGGCTGAGATGTGAAAGTAAAGAGTTTACTTGTACTTTGCCGCTCTGAGCGATGTCGGCTTGAGATGTGATACAGAGTAGCAGGCGAGAGAGAGCAGGGCAGCAGGCAGAGTAGAGTTGATGTTGTGCCTGCACATTGGTGTTGTCATATGAATGGTGTTGTGAAGCAGGGATGTACTGCTGCTGATATTGGTGTTGTGAAGCAGGGATGTGCTGCCGCTGATATTGGTGTTCCAGGGTATGGAAGGTCGTGAAACAGGGGGAGGTTGGTGGTGAGTTTGGGTGCACTAGGTACTGATGCCTTGGCGCAGGTTGAGATGGTGGAAGCTGCGAGGAGGCGATGTGAGGCCAAGTGTGATTCAGTGAAGGCGCACCAATGGTGGCGATGAGTGACATGTGGTTGCAACAGAGGTGTGGTGATGGAGATGATGAAGCTGTGTGCTTAGAGGTAGTGTTTGCCTGTTTGGTGGTGCTCGTGGAGATGTCTGGGGGTTTGAGGAGAGAGATGGTTGAGGTCCAATGGATGAAACCATCCAAAAATATAGGAGAGAGATGGTGGGGATGTCAGTTATATTTATATATTTAGTGTGGTGGTCGAATGGACAAACCCATCCAGATTTTTCCACACAAAAATCTATAATTTGTTTGTTGTTTTACTCTCTAACTGCATTTTTTCTGTAAAATATAACAGCTCAAGGATCTCATGTCAAAAGCCTTGGATTTGTGGAACATCTTGGGTGTGACATGCCCTGAACAGAGGACCTACAAGTCTAGGATGAACAATCTCAGTTCATTCCTTCAACAGGCTAATAGCCTGTCATCCAAATCGTTTGAGAAGGTAAGAGTTTAACACGAATGGTCTTATTTACCAAGTGATAATTACTCTGCATTAATGGCATTTCCTGAGTACAATGTTAGAAGTTGAATCGCTCAACTCCTCTCTCTGAGATGTGCTTCACACACACACGCACAGCTACTACTAGCAGTGAAACTTTATTGATAGCATCTCTCTCTCTCTCTCTCTCTCACACACACACACACACACACACACACAGAGCACTAAGCGCTGAAGCTTAGTTGAATCATTCAGCCCCTCTCTCACTCTCTCTCTCTGCTGGAGCTAATTACTCAGCTCCTCTCCCTCTCACCCTCTCTGTTGTTTCTCACAACATGCACAAGTACACAAGCTCAAAAGCAGCTAGCTATGCTGAACAAGCAAAAAAAGACTGACACTACTAGCTGACTGCATACTCCTATCTGACATGCATATTCTAACATAGAACATGTTACTGTTGTTTTCTGATTTCTTGCAGCTTGCAAAGATTGTTAAGGAGCTTGAATGTAAGAAAGTGAAGCAACTTGAAGCAATGAAAGCGGATATTCTTAGACGTGCAAAGATCTTTATAAGAAGGACCGAAGGCAGCACCAATTTTGCCAGCCTAAAAGGTAAGAAAATAAAACCAGTGCACAATATTTGTAGAATAATTGTGGGCTTGTGGCTATTTTCATTTTATTGGATTTTGGTGTGCTCAAACAGATTTGATAAGCACGGCTGTTGCATGGGAGGCACAACAGAGGGATGCCATTCTGTATGAACAGGCAAGTTATTACTGCTTTAATCGCTCTTTAATCTCAACTGTTTAAACATGAGAAAATTTTCATTTATCTTTTCTATAATTCTTTCCAGGAAAACCTGGTGGCTCGCTTAAAAATGGTGGAAAATGATATGCGGATGTTCGACTTTGATTCCACAGGTAATGTTACGGAACAAGCAATGGGTTTGATATGCTAAAATTGCTGAAATACTAACCTAAGTCTCTGTAGCTGAGAGAGAAGACAAGAGAGATACTCACATGGGAACGTCAAGCTCATCCAGTGAGACTACCAAGTCTGACCCCAAAGACAGTGACTACATGCCTGAGAGTTCGGAGTCGGATGTAGACATGAGAGACTTTGTGGTCTCCGAGTCTTCTGATTCGGTCTCTTCATGAGGGATGTGATGCTTTGATGTGGCGGCAGAGCTAGGTGCAATCAGGGTAGTCACTTGCTACTGCTCGCGCAGGCTATGAACAATCATGGACCAGACGCCTCTAGGTATGTGATGCCTATCGAGGACATGAAAGTGTGGGCAAGGCTATGGTTTTCTAGTTGCGCTATCCAAGCTTGCAAGCGTGATGCAAATAGAGCTGCACATGCAGTGGCTAGGTTGGGATATTCTTGTGATGTAAATCCTGCCTTCCTGTGGGAGGATGATGTTCCAGCTGTAGCTGCAAACGTTGTGGTGGGCGAGATGCCCATTTTGCCTGCAGGCTATACATATGCCCTTTCTCTAAGATTGATTGCACTGTCCAGCGGCAATATTTTCGCTGATGAATTGCCCTACCAAATCTCCATACGGCCTTGTTCGGTTGTAGCAGAATTAATCCTTTAGTGGATTTAATCCTCTAGAGGATTGGGTGATCCCCACTTGACACCAAAACCATTTGGGGACCAAATCCTTGCCAGTATGCAATCCACGCCACTCTCATGCATTCGGTTAGTCCCCAAGGGCACTGGACCACAGGGACAACAGTATTGACATAGATGAAGTCGTACATATAGATAACAACAATTCTCATGCAGTAATTACACATATAGATAACAACAATTCTCATGCAGTAATTACACAGATGCAGACTGAAGTGACAATAACACTGACAATTTAAAACACTTATTATCCCAACAATAACAACAATTCTAAGATTTGAACAGGGCACAAATACTAACAAAAATAATAGCAATTTGGAGCATACATAATATATAATATGTTGAATAGACCACAAAAGCTTAATTATCAGTTCCTCCCAAAATCTTCCATGCTACAGCCAGTCGTTTCAGAAATAGTGTTTAGTTTCTCTACAAATATTACATGGACAAAACCCAGCGAATAGATATGAAGCCTTCCACTGAAAAGCACACACAAATAGATCCAAGTCGTGGCACCTTCGCTCTTCTTCGGGAGCATTCTTATGTAGAACTCCTGCCTTTTGAAACCATTCAAACCCAAAATTAGTTTGAGAGTGAAATACTTGGCAGTTTTATTTCCAGGAATGGAAACAATGAGAAAAACATACATAAACAGTAGGTAAATCAATCTCTATCCTCTGATCTATGTTAAAAGCATCCCTTTTTATTTTCTAGGGACAAGGCATCATAGCAGTTTAGAAATAGACAATGACTACAACCACAAGAAAATCAGCCTAGACTAGCTACAACACAAGCACTTGTCAACCTGTGTCGATACATCAAGCAATCATTTGAAAAAAGGTTGTATTATTCAAGCAAAATATTCCTATAACCAGTCAGTCTAATAGTTTGCAAAAGAACTTCATAAATATATTTAAAACAACTATCCATTTCAGCAGAAAATAATGTCTTTACAGCAACAGCAGCAACAACATGGACTAAATGGCTAGCAAGGAGTTTAGTAACATGGACTAATTGAAAAGAGGAGTACCCGAGTTATTCCATTTC